GCGCGCGTGCGCGCGCGCGCGTGTGTTCCAACCACACGGGCAACCCGTTCGTCGCGTTGGAGCGTTAGTGCTCGCGCGGCAAATGAGCTGCGGCAGAACGCGCTTGCGCGTTAAGTACCTGTTCGCGCGGCAAATGAGTCGCAGGCCGGTGCCCCGTGGTTTGTTTTTTTTTTCTTTTGAAAAAAAAAAAAAAAAAATGAATGCACGGGGTGGTACCCAACAACGAGTACTACCACCCCGCACCTTCACAAAAACCCCTCCCCCCCCTGAGAGCGCGAAAGAACGGTTCGCGGACCCCGTTCATTCGCGTCCAACGCGTGTTTGAACGCGGATTGAACGCGAATTGAACGCGCGCTCAATTTTTTAACGCGGACCCCGCGTTAAATCGAATTTCGGACACATAGTCGCTCAGTTTTTACGAACATTCGGTAGAACCGGTGTCGATATTCTGCAACGGATTCGAGCGGTTTTTGCACCCGGTCCTTGATCATGTACAACGCTTGCTCAGGGTGGACATAATCAAACCGGTTCATGAAATCTCGTTCGAAGGTCGGGAGGTCTACCCACACATAGGTACTATACCAGTGATGAGCGTCTCCTCCCATTCGAGCCGGAATGTTGATCTGTGCTTCGTGATCATCGTACTGCTGTGCTCTAAGCGTGGACAACCATGCTCCTGCGAGATGGTGCGCCGCATCAAATAGATAGAGATTTGGTGGCGACATGGGAGCAAGTGCACGTGGGGCAGGTTGATTAGGTGGGTTAGCATTTTGTTGCAGAACTGGATTTTGCACGTTGGCAGCCATATTGGCTGCTCGTCGGTTAGCCGATCTGCTTCTGGTGACGATAGGGTCGCGTCTATACGTGTTCCGAGGGCGAGGTCGCCCACGGTTAGCCAGGTCGCTTAATTAACGGGCTATCAATCCTAAGACCCTAACCACGTGTCGGGCTCCGATACCAACTTCACGCCCAGCGCGACTTCCTGATCGGAGTGGGGTATGGGCCTGGAAGTGCGAAAAGGGGTGTGCCAAGGATTTTTGGGGAAAGTGGGGGAGTCTTAAGGGTATGAATGCAGTTAGGCAAGCGTGCGCAAGGGACTCACGATCCGATGGGGCCGGGACACTGTGGGCGACGGGTTACGGGAAAATTCCTCTGTGGTGGAGGTGGTCCTGAAAAGTTAGGCCGTCGGGGGCCGCCACGCGGAGCAGGCCGCCGCGTACCTGGGTTGGGCCTCCGAAATTCCGGAGTGTTCTGCGCGCCGTTGCGTCGGCAGTTCACGCAAAACGTATTGGGCCAATAGGGGGCTATGGCCGGCCACGGAACGACACTGAGTTGATGATACGGGAGAAGGAGGCGGAAAGGAGGGAAACTGGTGGTGATCTCAACGAATCCTGGGTGGGTGAAGTAGTATGTGTGGTCGGGGGAAAGGAAATCGGAGCACCGAGGGTCGCTAGTGGTAGCATAGTGGAATTCCCGCGGACATAACCGATTCTCTATGTGACAAGGGTATCGTGTCCTTATGAGCTCGTTTATTATAGGGGTGAAATAGTACGGGTTGTAAGACGAGTCTGAGTTCCAAGATCGCGTCATGGTATCATCGTCGGTGGGATAGCGCGGGTCGGGTTTTCGTCACCGCGTACGAGCACGTGCAGGACAGGCCGATTCAGTGGCGCCTCAGCGTGCTCACACGGGATGATGGTTTCGTCGTGACTCCTTTCTGGGGGAGCGGGTCGTCGCGCGGGAATGCATGTAAGGGCGCGACTCGGATCGTGTTTACACGTGTTCTCGCGCGGCGTCTCGCCGAGCCAGACCTCGGATCGTTTAATTGCTTCGGATTATGTCAGATGCAACCATATCACAACCCTCATCGTGAGATAAGCAAAAATGAGGACAAAATCACTATCGGGGCCATATTCCTATCCCATCTACAACTGCATCAGGTGTGGGCAAAGATTCGACACAAACAAAAGACAAGGATAGGGATTCTCAACAAAAAGATATATATATAAACAGGCATAACGTCCACACATCCACGCATTCATACATCCATACATTCGATAATCATACGCATAATGCCATAGCAAAGACAAGTGTGAGCAAAAACTTAAGCCCAAATCTCAGAAAGCTGAAACGAAAATAACAACGGGCAAACCGTCTGGAGCCGTAATCAAAATGTATGTACACAGATGGAGAGGGGGAAGAGACAAAGAAACAGCAAATCCGCGTCCATCGATCTCAACTCTCTCCTCCTCTCTCTCTCTTTCTCCGATGCGGACAGTCCGTCGTCACGCACCCACCCACGAAGTTGTCACCCCGCTTAGTCCTCCCGCACCCGTCGGATTCGCCCGTGCCCACAGTCCGTGGTGGCCCACGTCAATCCCGCGCGTTCGGCACCAACCCGCCGGGTCGCCCAACTCCTACTCTACTCACCTCTTACTTCGCTCGTGTGCCGACCCTTCCTGATCGCGCAACCCCGAGCTTCCAACAACGGGTTAAGAGAGCTCACTAATCGCGCAGCCAAAATTTATAGTGTGCATGCATGCGCGAAGAACGCGGAATTACTAGGACTTAGAGTGAGGGTTGGAGAATGGACGCCTGCGTTCTGCATGATCGGTCACGGCGTGGGGGACGTAACCCTTCTCCACGCATCGATCCGAGCATGCAAGTCGCGGCTTACAAAATTTCAGCAAAAGAGAGAGAGGGAGGGCGGGAGAGACGAAGTGCAAGAAGAGAGATACAGTTACAATGGCGTCCGCCCAAAACTACAGTTACACACGCGATTAAGGGCGCCTGCTAATCAGAGTTCCGTTGCAGCCTCATGAAGAAGCGCGTAAACAAAAGGCGCCGCGCGGCAGGGAAAATCCTAATTACTAAATTCCTAAATTCCTATCTAATGCGAGAAAGCAAAAAGAAGCACGAATTCAGAAGGAAAGTCCGAAATTCCGAGAGCCATTGGGGGCTTGACAAAATTCGAAAAAGATTCAAGAGGAATTTCAAAAAGGAACGAAGCAATTTCCCGCGCGATGTCCGCGCCCAAAAGATCGAAAACCGAACCAAAAGAAACGACGTCGATATTAATCGCGCGCGCTCGTGGCATCGCGCCAAACAACCATCCGACCAATCAATCCACCGGCCGTTCCAGGACACACCCAGCCCTGAAGAAGCGACGAAAAAGACGAAGAAGCAAGGGTACTGATGCAGTTTTCCACCGATCCCGATTTCTCGTAATTGACCCAATCTTCCCAGCTTAGGACCCCTCGTTGCAACCGCGCAGAAACTCCCGCGTTACAGAAAGTGGTTCGTCACACAGATGGGTCTAGGGAGTTTTGTAGGATCCAGTCCGTGAGTTCCTTGAGGTGCGCTCGCACGCTCCTCTCTCGAATGAGGGGCTATTGATCAGGTTGCGGCCGATGCCGAGGCTGCAGAGAACTGTGTCCCCCGTTCTGGGCTATGTGGGGGATTTCCATGTGCTGCTGCTGGAGATCATTCATTTGCTGCATGGCAAGATGGTGAAAGAGGGCCTGTTGCTCCGTTGACAGGGCAACTCGTGAGGTATAATTGTCGTTGTCCCAGTCGGATTCTGAGTCCGATGATGCGTCATGAATGGGAACGTCCATTTGGGGCCGTTGCACTTGTTTTGCTAGTCTGAGGGTTATTGCCTCTCGTAATTCAGCATCCGCTTGTTCTTGCTCCATCTGCATTAAGCGGTACATCGGTGTACCCCTGTCCTGCTGCCTCTTGCCGTCCTGGCACGGATCAGCAGTGGACCCCGGTTGGGGGGGTATAGCCGCGACGTGATCTCCTGCTTCCGCGGCGATTGCATCATTGGCCTTTGCAATTGCGGGGTTACCATCGGGTTGATCCAATTGCTTCGATATCAGAAAAGTGGGCTGCTGATTTGTCGTTTGCTTCGATATCAGGGTGACCGGCTGCAGCAACTCTGGTTGCCAGGGCAGTAGTCTCTCTGAGTCGTGCACTGGTGGATGCTCTGGGACCAGGGGACGGGCTTTGGATGGGAGTAAGTTCTTCAGTCCTTTTGCAATGCTCTGGATATATTCATATCTGAACAGTTTGTTCATTCTTTTAAGCTGTCCTGTGTGGATTCCAGGCAGGTGTTTGGTGAGCAAGAGGGGCTTCCGGGGGCGGCTGTGAGTCAACAAGGCAGGTGTTCCTGCAGGATGCGGCTGAGTGTTTGTCCCCTCTGTCAGCACCACCTGTGGCCGTGCTTGGGCCAGTGCATTCCCAGATACGTGTTCAAAGTACTGCTTCTGCATTTGCGACG